CATCAGGGGTTGGAATCTCCCAAGGAGGAAAGTGAAAATATTTGTATTTTGCAACATTTTGAAGGTTCACGGACGAGAGAAAGTCTTCAGTTTTTATCGACATTGGTGAGTTATTTTGATGAAAGGTTCCGTAATAATCTTGCCAATTCTTTTGAATGAAATGAACGGGATAATCGTAATACAAAGATCTTGCTATAAATTTGAGTTGGATCTTTCGTCTCTGCAGGTCAAGGGGTAGGACACCACAGTCCACTTCCATAGCCGATATATGGGTGTGTTTCAGTGCTCCACAACATAATCGCAGACAACGATTCTGAATAACGTCCAGTTGTTTAAGGACTGAGCAACTCGCAGAGTCATAAATGATACTGCCATAATCAATGACGGATCTTATTAAGGTTTTGTACCTAAGTAATAAAGTCTTTTTGGACGCTCCCCAGCGTGTGCCAGACACACATTTAAGCAAATCGAGTCGCTTAGCACATTTGTGCGAGACATTGGTGATATGACGCGTCCAATTTAACCTGGAATCAAAGATAACTCCAAAAAAAATTGTGGTGAGTGACAGAGACTAGTTGATGGTTATTAAGATTTAATTTCACAGTGCTTGAAGTACGAGAAAAAAAGGTAGAACTGCAGACTTTGGGCCTGAAACCGTAAAGCCCCATTTAAAAAACCAGTTGGCTAAATTATCCAGATTTGTTTGAAGACAGGTTTGAATGTGATTAATATTACGACCAGTTTTCCAGAGGGCTAGATCATCAGCAAAAATACTATAATTCGTACCATAATTAATGAAGGAAGAACTAAGGTCATTAATCATTAGAAGGAATAAATTAGGGCTAATAACACTATCCTGGAGAGTGCCATTTTCCGTGACTCTTTCCCCAGAGACAACTACATTGACTCTGACCTTAAAGGATCGGCTTGAAAGAAAGTCTTTAATCCAGTTAAATAGTTGGCCATCAAAACCATAACTATTGAGTTTATATAACAAACCTTCTTTCCAGACCATATCGTATGCTCGTTCAATATCCAAGAATACAGACACTGCCTTGCCTTTGTTACATAATGATTTGTTAACATCTTCATGTAGCCATACCAAATGATCAAGCGGTGACTTCTTCCAACGGAAACCAGACTGAAACTGGTCGAAAAGTTTATGTTTTTCACAATATCAATTCAAACGGTATGCAGTCATTCGTTCCATAATTTTACACATAGTAAAAGTAAGAGCAATTGGTCGATACGATGTAACATAACTTGGATCCTTGTCTGGCTTAGGGATTGGACAAACTATGACATGTTTCCAGGCTGAAGGGAGGGTACCTTCATTCCATACCATATTGAAATATTCCAGCAGCTTTACCAAAAAATTGGGCGAAAGATTTTGATAGATTTTATAAGGAATTCGATCGTCACCAGGGGGCCGAGTTTTTAGATGTCTTTATTGCTCGGTTAATTTCACCGATCGTGAATTGAGCGTTCACCCCTTTACTATTGTTTGGCTTCTTTGTAAGTGTGGCATAGTGGTCATGTTCAAATAATTTTCTATGAGTTAAAAATTCGAGTGAATAATTGTCGGAACTGCTGATGTGGTCAAATTGATCAGATAGCGCATTTGCCTTTTCAACATCCGTCAGATATGTTGATCCAAGAGTTTTAAGGGAAGGAATACAGATAGAACCCCCACCATTCATACGCTTTACGAATTTCCATATTTTACTTAAATCTGATGAACGGTTGAAACTAGAGCAGTAATTATGCCAGAATCGTTGTTGGAGTTCTCGAACTGTACGTTGACAAATGGCCTTCTGCTTTTTATACTCAATATAATCGTCTAAGAGACGGGTTTTAAGAGCTTTCTTCCTACTCTTGTGTTTTTGTTTAACTGCTTTCTCACATTCCATATTCCAATAAGGGGTTTGATGTTTTCCACAGTCTGTGGTTGATAGTGGAATAAATTTCTCTGCTCCTTCCAAAATAATAGTTATTAGACGAGAATGTACAGATTCGACTAGAAGAAGACATATCTATATTTTGAATGGAAGAATCAAGGAACGTACGGAAGTTGAGCCGCTTTGCTTTGTTAAAGTTCCAGAAGGCCGTTGTACTCCTAACTTCAAGAGGGGTCTTAACAGATGTAATGACCGGGAGGTGGCCACTTCCCAGGTCATCATCTAGAACATCCCAGGTAGCAAGACTAGCAAGTTTACTGTCTACAATAGTGAGATCTAGAGGAGAGAGATTACCCCGAACAAGACATGTCCCACGACCGTCATTTAATACCACTTTGTCAGATTCCATAACTAGATCTCCGAGAATCTGACCTCGACAGTCAGTTTTTGTTCCACCCCATAAAGAGTTGTGAGCATTAAAACCTCCACAAAGTATACTATTAGGAAGAAAAAACTCTCGATACTCAACAGGATCAATGGCGACACCAGGCTTATAAATATTAAATATCGTGAAACTTCCCATAGAAGTCTGACACTGAATCCCAACAGCTTCTATATTT